TATAATCAATCTGATTTCGGTATTGCCCATCTGGTGATTTCCATGTGTAGAGTCGCCTCTTGTGTTGCTGGAAGTGAGTGTATGTGACGACCAGCTTGTTCTCTTGGCAAAACTCTATTAGCCTTTGCCCTGCTTCATTTTGAACTCCCAGGCCAAACTTCCCTGTTGTTCCTTTTATCTCTTGACTCCCTACCTTAGCATTCCAATCCCCTAGAATGACAAGCACATCTTTCTTTGGTGTCACTTCTAGAAGGTGTTGTAAATCTTCATAAAATTGTTCAATTTCAGTCTCCTCAGCAATGATGGTTGGTGCATAAACTTGGATGTTGAAAGGTCTGCCTTGGATTCGTATTGACATCATTCTATCATTTTTGAGATTGTATCCCATTACAGCTTTTCCCACTCTTTTGTTGACTATGAGGGCTACTCCATTCCTTCTGCGGGATTCTTGCCCACAATAGTAGATATGATACTCATCTGAATTGAATTCGCCCATTCCTGTCCATTTTAGTTCACTGATGCCTAGGATATCAAGGTTTATTCTTGCCATCTCCTGTTTGACCACCTCCGGCTTCCCAAGGTTCATAGATCTTACATTCCAGGTTCCTATGCAGTATTTTTCTTTGCAGCATTGGACTTTCCTTTTACTACTCTGTGTAATTAACAACAAATAACACACATACCCACCCACAAACAAAAGACACCCAAATTGTAAAAACAACAAGATAAAACAAAACAAAAAACCCAGAAGCAAAAGCAAACTAAATGCAAATACAATTACATGGGACTGCGAGAGAGTCACCGATGGAGCTCTGATATCTTGCATTTCCTTAAGGTCAAGAGGGAGGGAGCCCAGCGTGTAGCTATGGGCAACATGTTTTGTAATGTTGTGGCCATCACAAAAAAGGCCCGGTTTCTAGTGGTAGTTTTTCAGGCCTCTCTGTTACACTCCATTCTTTAGCACCTCACAATTAACATAATTATGCTGGGGATTTAATCAACTAGATTGTATAATGCACCTGCTAATGTAATCTTACTGGAATGTGAATCCCCCCCCCTTTTCAAAGTCATGATTTAGTTCAGATTTGCATTTTCTTGTATCAGATTTCAATAGATATGAAATGCTTTTCAGTTGGCTCTCCTGATTCCCTAAAGGTTTTACACTTTTGGATTTTAAGGTCTTGTCAATGATTCTGTTTTATCTTCTGTTTTATTACATTTTATTCTTGTGATATTTTAACTTTGTAAACCACTCTGGTAAAGGTGATAAGAGAATTATGTAAATAAAAAGATGGCATTGGAAGGGGAGCTTCACTTAATTTTGTTACCTAAAATTATAAGATTAGAGCACCAACAAATTTGACTCTGAAATTATTTTCTCCTCAGAAGAAACTTCCACAAGGTGTCCAGGAAGGCTAAAATAGTTTCGATATGACCAATACAATTTCCCAGGTGTTACATACAGCACTGATGTTACCTGTCTGTCATGGGTTTGGAGGGAAAGTTCCATCCTATGGGGAGTGGAAGGCGGGACATCTGGAGGAGGGGCTGTACTGTATAAATATGTGATGCCTGCGTGGTGAGAAGGAGATGCTGAGAGACACTGGGTTGTGACGAAGCAGCAGCTGGGAAGAAGAAGCTGTTGTGGGAGTCTGTGTGTCAGACAGGGTACTTCTGTGTGTCAGAGTACCAACCTGATAGGTTCAGGTGTCTGTTGGTTAGCCAGAACTGATAGGTTCAGGGTCTGTGCTTTAAGTTAAGGGTTCTGTGTGAACCAAACTGTATGCTTGTATGAGAGAGAATAAGCCACGTTACTTTATCCTATTCACCTGATTGTTTATTTTTCCCTGTGTGTCTTTAAATAAACCTTATTCTTTTTATTGTTTAAAAATCCATCCCTGGTCTGTGTGACTTCTTATAGGGAATGGTTGGTGGCAGCTTAGAGAAACTGTGTGACATATCCCAGTAGGTCTGGGTTTGTGACACCAGGAGTCTTTTGCACATCCCAAAGCAATTAACATTTATTTTAAAAAATAGAAGTCAAGGCAAAATGGGTGTTTTTTTATTAGGCGACGTAATGCAGCAGTTTTTAAAAGTTTGCTAATAAGATTGTACACATCTCTAGGATCCAGATACTGTGATCCATAGTGTGATTCTGATGATATAGAGCTAGATCCATAAAGCAGCATGTCTGGGATAAAATAGCACCCAGATATTTCTCATATTTAAGGATAAGATTTTGAAATTTGCGGAGTTCCTATTCCTCCACAGAAAGTAGTTCAATCCAATGTAGGCTTCCACTAGCAGAAGGGATATCATTTTTGAAACAGACTTTTACATGGAAAGGGGGCAGCAAGGGACAAGGACATTCATGAAAAATTAAATTATAGCCCCTTTGCTAAATTTTAATTCCAGCGAAGGAGTACAAGGATTCTTTTGTATCTACTTATCCTTTGATGTGTCAATATTTTATTGTAAATTATAATAATTCAGTATAGATGCACATGTAGTACATTTTTTTTCAATGAATAGCTGTTTACCATTCTCTATTTACAGTAATCCTGAAAAGATAAAAAAAGGTGCTGCTGCTCAGTAGAAAGTCAGGCACAGGGAGTGAGATTCAACATATTTTAGAGGGGGTTGCACTTCTCCCGTTGTACTCCCCCAACAGGTCACGTTCCTAGTCTGGGAATAATCCTTGGTTCTGCACAGTCCTTGGATTCTAAGGTAGAGGCAATGAGTGGAGTTTTTCACAACTCCACTTAGTACACCAGCTATGAGCAGCTGAATCATCCTGACCTGGGATCAATAATCCATGCCTTAGTTACATCATACCTTGATTACTGCAGCGCCCTCTCTCTGGTTGTACTCTTGAAAAAGGTAAATAGTGTATTGTACTGAGATTACATAATTCCAACACTGAAATATCTTCACTGGTTACCAGCTGTTGAACAGGCCCAATTAAAGGTGCTGTTTTTCACCGTTTAAAACCTTTGAAAATGGTTTGAGATCCGAGGTGGGTACCTGGGGTACTGTTTGTCTTGTTATAGATCTTTCCAGAAATCGAGCTCCTCAGGAGAGGTCCTCTTAAGAATAACAGTAGCTTCAGAGGTCTGCTTAATATTCATGTGGAAGATGAATGTTGTGAGTATGCATCTTTTAAAATTGGCTTATAATATTCTGTAATTTACTGTGAAGAGTTTAATTTTTGGTTATAGATTATTAATGGGTTTTATGCTCATTTTTGGTTTCACTCACTTTTAACAACTCCATGGTTAAACTTATTTTTACTTCTTGGTTTTATTGTTTTATGAGGAGTATAAGATGCTTTGAGTATTACCTAGTAGTAGAAAGGCACAGTGGAAATGTAATGAATAGCAATATCAATAATCTGTGAATTACTTTATTAAAACTACAGTCCTGATCCAAAGAAAATTATTTTTTCAAACACCTGCAGTTCAGTGGTAACAGCTAAGGGACCCCAAGAAAAGCTTTTCTTAAACAGTATGTACTTTTCTCTCAGAGACTAGAAATAATGAGTTACAAGTGATGTAGCTACTTTCAAATTTGGGGGTCGCAGTGGCGGTAGGAAGGAGACTACCACCAAAATCACATTTGAAGTGTAACAGCAATTTATAATGAAGATACTCTATTAGTGTAAAAAGTAACATTCTCAAAAATTACTATTCAAGGTCTCTTTTAGAGGCATTTTGACAGAAATTCATATGTTATGCCACTCCCTTTTAAAGTAGAAGCTTTTTTTCTATTAAAGCAACAAAATGTGAGGAAAAAGCAACAATGAAATCAGTAACTTGTTATCATGATGACAAGTTGCTTTTTAAACACTACAAGAAGTAACACAAACTAATTATTTTTAAATAATTCGAGCTCTGCTGTTTTTGAGCATATGATAGACCAGCAGAAAATGGTATTAATTTGTTCAACATGCATACAAAGAGGCACAATAGTGTCTTGTTTTTCTTTCCTATGCCAGATGATGTTGGCCATGCATGAAAGCAGTGCATTAGGGCAGTCAGAAGCATGGGGTGTCTACATGCACTTCCCACCACATATATGTTTAGCACTGCATATGTTATATAAGCCAACTTATTAAAATATCCAGTATTGAAGGGCTGGGCAAAGATATGGAATGTGTGTGCCTTCTGTTTACTATATTTATAATAATAATCTTAGAACTGCAGAGCTGGAAGGGACACTATGGGCCATAAGAGTCCAGCCCATGTCAAGGAAGCACCATGGAGAATCAAACTCCCAACCTCTGGCTCCACAGCCAGATGCCTAAACCATTTATCTGATGCATTGTTTCCATGTGCAAAAGTACCAGGAATACGGGTGGTGCGGTGAAGCCTAGTACATACACCAGTACCATTAATTATTTCTTGTCAGCTCACCTTTTGCAATGCAGCTACTATTTTTTTCTTTATAATTTTTTTCACAAGTGCATCTGTATGATCCTTTCACGTTGATACACAGCTGGGAGCAGATGCCAAAGATTAAGCATTCATTGATATCTAGAAAATAAAAATTTGTACACTTTATTACAAATTCATGGTAAGAATCATTAAAACTGCAAAGCAAATTTAATATAGAACAATTCATTCCTTTTCCTTTTTTAAAGTTTTATGTCTGTAAACCCCAAAGTCTTGATTTCAGAGCCTTAACGCTCACCTACCACTGTAGTAGTATTACATTTGCCCAATTTCCCCCTCCCCCAAATAAAAACAACCAGAAAAGAAAATGTTTTCTTACTTAAAGAATAGATATGACTTGCCAGCTTAAGCTAAATGGCAGTATTTACAAAAGCAGAATCTGCTGGTATCTAAATATAGTCCAGCAGCATTGAATGCCTCAGAGACTCCAGTGCTTTTGGAGGTGCTTATTGAACTGGTTAAAAAGGAAAAGAAAAAAACAAGAAACCCAGGTTATTTATTTTTAGCTATCTATTGCCAGTTAATAAATACAATACATAAGGCCTCTGTGATGAATGGAAATGGGAAATAGAATGTATTCAATGGAAGGCAGTGCTTGCCAGTATACCTGAGGTATCCACAGATCCAACAGTTATCCAACAAAAGATCATGTTTAGAATATGATCTTTATGAATATGACCTTTTCTGGGAGGGTCTGAGCAAATCATCTAAGTGTTGGTGCTGTGGTTCTTTCGAAGCATCTCTCAGTTATATGCTATGGATGTGTCCAGTTATAAGTTCATTTTGGAGATGAGTTTTTACTCATATTAATTTTGCATTGGACCACTGTCTGATCTTTGCTGATGATTAAGTCATTTTACTTTATATACTTGTTCTTAAGAGTTTAACCACCAGGCAGTGTAGATGGATTTTCTGTATCTTTATTATTCATTTATTTATGTAAAATATTCTTTACCTTGCCTTTCTCTTTAAAAGGGCTTGCATCATTAAAATACAATATTTAAAAGTTAAAAAAATAAGTATAGAAATATTATTAAAATTATTAAACAAACATATTAGAAATGGTAAATAAAATTATAATCGGGTTCATTTGAATCCCTATGCAGCTCTTCATTTTTGGCGGGAAATAAAGTCGAAGATATGTTAACTGTACTCCTATTCTTGTCTTTATTTGTTTGACATCTTTCAACTGTTATTCCAATCGGGTCAAAACATGGCAACAAGCTGTAACAAGGGGACATAAACTCATGTCCAAAGTCCAACATATTTATTGGGGGGCTCAGCCAAACTGTTCCTGATTGGTGGGCTTCCGAAGGGGCGCACTCCTCGCCACACAAATTGTTCCACAGCATGGGTGCCTCGCCCAGTCTCCCTCCTTCAGGGGTGTATTGTACCTGAGTCAGGTCTAATCACTTTCCTTCCTCTCCCTTTCCCACGCAGAAACATGATGACAGTCCACTCTTGGGTTTCTATCATTGATTCTCCCTCAGCTTTAGTTTCAGGGTCTGTTAGCAGTCCACCCACTCTCAGATTTGGGAAATCTCTCAACAAGTTATGTGCTTTTTTATGTTCAGTCTCTCTCCTTCTCTCTTCCTCTTTTTTCCTTATCTACTTTCCCGGATCTGCCCCCAAACCATTGTTCTTCTTGTACATTTATACCTTCCTCCCACACTGACAGCTCCTGCTCCTTCCCTTTTTCATTTCCACCCTCCTCCACCAGACATATTTCAACCTTCCGTCTTTTCTCTTCTAGCACAACCTCTTTTTCCTCAGACACATTCGCATCATGGCTCTCCTTCTCCTCTATCACGGCTTCTATTACTAAGGACGGCTCACTTTCACTCACACCTCCTTCACAGAAATAAATACTAAAGATACATTTAAAAGCAATAAGGAACAACCAACTTGCAACACTAGAAGGAGAAATGACCATCACCAGTAATCCAATGGACAGAAGACCAAACAACATTATCAACATGAAGATATGGCTTATAGAAGACAGCTACACATAGGTATATTCTTAGATACTTGGAAGCCTTTTATAGAAGCCTGTGTATAGGTTTTTCTTTTTTTTATCTTCTTCTTTTGTATTTTTATTTTAGCTGCTATTTCCCTTTAAAGTAATTATTAAAAAAACACAAAGCAAAACAAAACACCCAGCAGTAATCCCACTGGATGGGGAGAAGATGCCTGAAATATTTGGTTCTCACCTGAGGGAACAATTTAAATGAAGATGACAATCCCCACCACAGGAATCTTCCTGGTATTTTAATTTCATTGTTTTCTATACTAGCAGTTGTGTAGCTTTATATAAGCCCTTTCATTTTTGACTCTGTGCTGCCAAAGACTGTAAGGATGGAAAATGTTATCTTCTCTAAAGGAATGAATGTTCGTTGAGGTATGCAAATACATCTGAGATGGAGGTAGGAACTGGTCTCATGGCTGCTGTCATAAAAAGACATTTTACTGGCAGCCTGATACAGGGGAATCAGTAATATTCTCCAGGTGAACGGGGACAAGTTTCTCCCAAATACACTGCTATTTAATCTTACAAAGGTTATCTCACTTGCCTGTGCTACCAAAATGATTAAGGAACACAATTGAGAGGCATACCTACAGATGTGTGCAACAACAGTATGGCCGACCTGAAAACAACTAAAATTACTTGTCACACTTTTTAAAAAGAAACTCTGGGGTTGATCATACAGGGAAAAAACAGCTCACAATTTGGGTTGTTTGGGAACCACTCCAGTGTGATCTATTTTCCAGTAACCACATGATGTATCGGAATTGTGCTCCAGCCCAACCCTCATCTGTGCCTAAACTGGACCTTTTTTGTACAGCAGTAGGTCCACTAATTTTGGGGGCTGGATTAGACTGATTCCCTGACAGAAGGAAAGGTAGCTTTAAGGCAGATCACTCCGTGCTAAGTGCCCCTTTCCAGTACGATCGGATGCCCACCTTGAGAAATTGTACGAACACTGGGCTCTTTCTTAAACACAGCTAAAACTACAGATGATTAGCTGGATCCATAATTTGTAAAACATGCAGAACAATCAGCAAAATAGTAAATGGGTTGCTTATGGCTCAACTTTCTTCTGTAAACAATGAAACATTAATTTACCTGCACAGTTACTAACTAATGTTCTAAAGACAAAAGGGTGTTAATAATAAGCTTTTTTTGTGTGTGATGTGATTTCCCCACTGTGAAGAAGGATCATAACAAAGCCAACCAATTCCTAGAATTTTCATACATACAGTACATGTTTTATTACAAATGGGTAGCTGTCTGACACACACACACACACACACACAACACACACACACACACACACACAATTGTTGTTAATTCAGTTCCAGAGGTCAAGTGACATCCCATAACTATATAGCATTATTAGTCAAAGCAATCTTCTAATGTTTGATATACTCATTATTTTTTATGAAACATTGGGATTTCAAAGCAATTGCTACATAAATACCTTCACATTGCCAATTTCTCCTGTTCCTTTGAAAACCAGGCTTGCACTGACAGAAAAGAGATGTTTTGGTTTTATTACAATATGCATCATCACCACAAGGGTTCACGTTGTTTTCACAGTTATATTCAGTTAAGCCTAAAAAGAAATAAGAGAACTGTAAAATCAAATGGATTGTTGTTTTTTCAAACATATCTGAACATTCAGCAGCAATGCTTTGCATATTAGCTATAGCATACTCAGGATCAACCTCTCCTGCAACACCTGATAAAGAACTAGTTATCCAAGAGACTGAGTTTTTATATGTTTTGTTTTGTTTTGTTTTCAACTGAATCAGCCTTAGTCCTTGTGTGGAAAAGCCTTTGAAATGTGTATGCAATTGCTGTGCTTTTATATTATGTTTTCCTGATGTGCAGAAAGAGAACTTGCTCAGTCATTTGTTTCTACCTGCTCATTTTCCACACTCAGCTTAATAACTGAGTACATCCTTTCAGCTCTAGCATCAGCCTCTTTAACTGGGATGTAACAGAGCCATCCATTTCTGTTGAAGGTCAAATGCCAGGTGGTAAGGTAAAGGTAAAGATTCCCCTTGACATTTTAGTCAGTCGTGTTCGACTCTAGGGGGCGGTGCTCATCCCCGTTTCCCAGCCAAAGAGCCAGCGTTTGTCCAAAGACAATCTCCGGTGGTCACATGGCCAGTGTGACTTAGACACGGAACGCTGTTACCTTCCCACCGAGGTGGTCCCTATTTATCTACTCGCATTTGCATGCTTTTGAACCGCTAGGTTGGCGGGAGCTGGGACAAAGTGATGGGAGCTCACTGCGTCGCGTGGATTCAATCTTACGACTGCTGGTCTTCTGACTCTGCAGCACAGAGGCTTCTGCGGTTTAGCCCGCAGCGCCACCACGTCCCTTAAAAGAAACACAGTGCAAAATTTCACATGGATGATTGGCACATCATTTGCCTTTGCACATGTCAGTTGTTGCAATTTGCATGGGACCTGAAAGGCATTTATGCAGACTTTTAAACTTAAGCTGGCATGATCAAGTTGTGGCCTTCTAGTTGTTACAGGACTACAACTCTCATCGCCATAACCAATGGTGTGGAATGGCAGAAGTCGCATTACAACATCTGCATGGTCAAAAGTTACCACCCCTGCATTAAAGAGACACATGCCTAAGTGGATATTAAAGAGATTTGGGAATAAATGTTTTTGCATTGATACTGGCTGAAATCCTGTTGCTCAGAGTAATAAGAAACAAATAGAGTAGGCCCATTTGAATCAATGAAATGTACAGAGAAATTGACTCATGAAACCCTATTGATCCAAAGGGACTAATCTAGTGCAACATAATACACTACACAATGGAATTTCAACCATAAGTTCCTTGTACAGATGGGTGACCTTCCTAAAGGTCTACCTGAATGAATGTGAAAATTAATTTATTTTTTCCATGCACAACTACGGTATCAAAAGGACCTTGGTAATTTTTCAGAGACAATTTTTTAATGATGGGTAATTAAAATAAGTCCTCCCCCGAAAATAAGCCCTCTGCCCTTTTCTTTCCCCCAAAAGATAATAAGACAGTGTCTTATTATCGGAGAAACACGGTATCAAAAGGACCTTGGTAATTTTTCAGAGACAATTAGAGCAATCACAACATCTCAGAAACTTTCCCATTCTTCTGATATGAAGTTGGCTACAATTAGTTCTACAGAGACAGAGAAAAAAGTGCTTCAAGGGCCAATCCAAAGATGAAAGCAAAAATCTTCAGGGAAGATAACTAGGTTGCCTCCTCCCTCCATCATTGGATTTCCCCTGCCTTCAGGATATTTTTACGCCTACATAGAAAGTATCTTCATAAATTCCTATGGATGAAAAAGAAAGATCAGTGGGTCTTTTGTGGGCTCCCACAGGTATCAAAGGTCACTTGTTGACTAGGCCTGAATCTGTAAATCAGTTACGAATTGATTCCTAATCAGTTATTGAACAGTAAGTCAACTCTTCATAAATCCCAATTATTGAATGGATTTAGCCTAATTTAGGTTATGGAAAACATCAGTTTAGATTAAAGTTTTAAAAGTTTGCCTCTTTTTAAAAACTAGCTTATACTGTACATGAAACCAGATTTCTTTTTGAACAGGAAACTAGGCAGAAATAAGGGGAGTTAGGCCCCAAAGCCTTCCATTTGAGCCTTTGTTCCAGATGAGCCACATTTATGTGTCTGTACGTCAGGTGGAACTCCCAGAAGGGGCATTATGGAATTTGTAGTCCAAAAAATTCAGAAATCCCATGTATGATTTTGACAGATGCAGTGAACTTGCAAAATGAAACTAGCTGCACCAGTGATTGTGCCCATGAGCACATACTACTCAACTGGGCAATGGGATTAATTATGATCTCAGAAACATCATATATATTTAAGTAATAAATCAAATTGTTTAGGTTATGCTCTGTTCGATCTCATGCTATTTTAAGATCTGTAAGATTATACAGATTGTATCCTGCATTGATGCAGGCAGACAAGTTCTGTCTGCTCCTTGCAGAAAATGAGAGTCGGACAGCTTCTTAATCAAACTTACTTGTTTTGCAGCCTTGCTCATCTGAACCATCTCCACAATCATCATATTGATCACACTCTAGTTCCACCGGTATACACTTCTTGTTGCTACAAGCAAACTCATCTTTTTTACAAGGCCTTACTTTATATGTGGTTTTGTCTGCAAAAAAAGTGGAATCAATCATTTTTCTTCTTCTTACATTATTATTCATGAAACAAATACACGTATAAATGAAACACAAGTTCAAACTTTGACATGTACTTTCTTTTTTTCACTCAGTTCACTCAGTTCAGAAGCCAATTAAATAAAATAAATAAAATAAATTAAAGCCAAATTAATAATATTACCCAGTGAGTGTGTAAGCAGATATTTTTCTGTTTGTAGCAAACCAAACGTTATCTCAACTTCCTGATGGAGACCGATAAATTTCTGGGTGGCTTTTCCCCACCCCTCAGCCAAGGAGGAAACTTGTGTTTCAAAAACAGGTGGTGTATGGGGGCAGGGGAGGTACATACAGAGTATTTGACTGCCTCTGTCTGAATAGCAGTGTCGAAATTTCCAACCACATGTTACTAGGGTGAATCATTAAACCACACACCGCAAAGCCCCGTTGTAACCAGCTCTAAGCTCACTTTAAGAAGGTGGTGCCTCGCTTGACGAGGATAATTCGTTCTGTTGAAATCGCTGTTAAGCAAAATCCTCGTCAAGCAAAATGAATAAGCCCTTTGAAATGCATTGAAACCGGTTCAGTGTGTTCCAATGGGCTGAAAATTCACCGTCCAGTGAAGATCCTCCATAGAGGCGGCCATTTTTGGTGCCTGTAAAGCAGGGAATCCATCCTGAAAACACAGCGGGGAGCCATTTTGCACAACGGGCAGACATTTTAGAACTGCCGATCAGCTGTTTCAGAATCATCGTTTAGTGAAAAATCGGTTCCCGAAGCAGGGAACCGATCATCGTTAAGCGAATTTTCCCCATAGGAACATCGTTTTGCGATTGCAAAAGCGATCACAAAAACTTCATTATCAAGCGGTTTCATCATTTAATGAGGCAATCGTTAAGCGAGGCACCACTATACCTGGCAGACTTCGCAGGCTCCTCCCATGAATTTTTAGGACTTACATTTGTAATTTTTCTGCACTGTCCACAAGATACTGGTGAATGGCTGAAGAAGTGGGTTTTAATTCATAAAAGCTCACATTGTTTGATTTTATTTTTATTTTGTAATCAACTGCAGTCTGAATTATGAATATATTGCAATATTACTGAAGTCAAGGTTCCTTATACATTCAAGGATTACAAACTTTCTGAATTCTGCTTATAAACAGACCCATTGTAAGTTTTCTCGGCACCAATAATGAAATTACAGTGCCTCTGTAATGCTGGTTGTGAAAGAAACTCTGTGCATTTTCACAAATGGGATGAGAATGTCCTTTTACTGTAATCCATAAAAAATTGCCTACCACAATGATCCTCATCTGAGACATCACCACAGTCATCAATCCCATTACAAATCTGTTCCTGCCGTAGACAAACTCTGTTATTTCTGCATCGGTACGGCCTTGTGGGGGGACATGGAAACTTTGCTGTAAAAAAGGGGAGAAATCACTCTAATGTTGAAATCATAATTAGACAGAGAACATATATTTAGATCTACCCATCTGCTTCTATCAAAAATGTAAAAGTGATTAGATATATGTGACTAGATATGTAAATAAATTTACTGTAAATAAATGTCAGAAGCTTCTGCTTCATGGTTAGATTTGAGGGGGAAAATACTGTTCAATACATCTCATTTACATCAGACAGAAACAAGAAATCGTTCCTGAAACATATGAAGGGACCATGCATTACAGCATGACTGTTTTCACACTGAAATGTAATATGAAATATTTACCATATACTCGAGCATAACTTGCTCAAATAAAACAATGGGATAAACTGACTGGAGTTATGAGCAGTCTAAAGATGGTGAAATGAAAGAAAGACTATGAAACTTTAGGGAAAAACAAACTTACAGCATAATTCAGGAAGTTCATCAGAATTATCTCCGCAGTCATCTTCTCCATCACAAACCCAAGCATGTAGTTTACACAGTGAATTGTTGCAAAGGAATTCATCTGTTCTACATATATTGCCTCCTGAAAAGATAAAATAACAAACAAAATGAGAAAGTATGCAAGCATCTTTAAATTTTTGGCATCTGTATCCTAGAACCACACTAGGCAAAACGATATGAATTGTGTTATGATGTCATCTGACTCTTTAAATTATAGCAAACAGTTTTGGGGGGACATTAAGGAAAAGGGGTAGATTTCACTCCAGTATATTTTTTACAATGAAAACCACCTTCATCCAGCGGGTATTTGCCCCCCCCCCCAAATAAAGTACATAAGAACTATTCTACATTAGAGCAAAGACCCAATTTAATTCACTACTCTGTGCCCAGATACTTATAGTCATAAGGAAGACATGAGTACAGCAGCACAATGATGTCTTGAGAAGCATGTATGTGTTGACACATGGAGACTCTGAAGATGACATGATGAACTCCCTCTTTTTGATCATGTATGCTCTGATATACATACAACCCATGGGGTCTTAAGTTTCCTGACAGAAGAATTAGTGTCTGGAAGATAATTATTGGGAAAATACCTCTAAGAAGAAATTACACTCTACCACCCATCCCCCGTGACATGTTCTAATTTTTTCCAGCAGCTGATACTCACTGTTTTTTTTTAAAGGAAAAGCAATTATAGAGTCACATGATTTACCAACTTGACCACAAGACTATCACAAGGAACTGAAATAGATGATAACTCTTTAAACTGAAGGTGTGAAATTTCTTTTATTGACATATCCCCCGATTTCCTGCAAGTCCTCTCTGAGAAACTTATTGAAAAGGACAATAGGAAAGTATAAGAACTTCTATTGTTAGTGTAGATGAATGCCCATCCATTCACTTTGATTGAGTTTGCAAAGAAAAGTTACACTTTTTCTTCTAGAAAATATAGAATATAAGCATAAAATAACACTGAAGTTATTTATCCCTAAGCAGGTAAATCATCCCAAAAAAGGGTAGGATTCAAGTATGCATTCAAAATAAAGTTTGATTAGAAAGCTTCTGGGCTGTTTATTCATTTAAGAGCAGTTCACACAAACTTATTTCTCCACACAATTGTTTCAGCATCCATGAGCTTTTTTCTTTCTTTCTTTGTATCAGTGTTGCACAATTTTAAATGAACTATAGGTAAAGGTAAAGGTTCCCCTTGACAATTTTTGTCCAGTCGTGTTCGACTCTAGGGGGCGGTGCTCATCCCCATTTCCAAGCCATAGAGCCAGCGTTTTGTCCGAAGACAATTTCTGTGGTCACATGGCCAGTGCGACTTAGACACAGAACGTTGTTACCTTCCCACCAAGGTGGTCCCTATTTATCTACAGTACTTGCATTTGCATGCTTTCAAAGCACTAGGTTGGTGGGAATGAAAAATAGCTAACATTAAAAACATTTAGACTATTTTTGACCAGAAGCAGACTACTTCAATAGTATTATCTTAGCCATTTACTAGATCTTCTTCTGTATAGAATTGCATGCACACAAGTGCTGTACTGATTCACAGTCACAGAAAATGTGTCCTTTATCCAGATATCCTCATTTAAATTATTTTTTATCTTCCTAGTTTGTTTTAAAATACTGTATAGTAAGTAACTTCCAGATAGTCCGGCTATAGTGTTGTCCTGGTGGGAGAACGCTTTGGCACGAATCCATTCAGCAAGGTGTGTTGTTTTTGTTCTCCACAGGTTTAGCCCAGCCTCTTCTAGTTCAATACTTATTTATTTATTTGTTTGTTCATTCATTCATTCATTCATTCATTCATTCATTCATTCATTTTATTTTATTTTATTTTATTTTATTTTTTATTTATTTATTTATACCCTGCCCATCTGGCCTATAAGACCACTCTAGTGCCTGTTTACTTTCATTTCGTATAATTGTTTCTTATGTGAACATACATGGGAACAATGGTAGTAAAGAAAATTACTTGTTTTTGTAATCAGGTAGCAAATTCATTCTAGCAGTGGCACTTTATGGAAATTAGAATTTCAGAAGTGTGTAGAAAACTTTTCCTTTATTTTAGCTGTGGTTTAGTGATTTGAAGAGACCCTTGTCCATCAGGCTGAGGCAAAGAGGAAGTCACAAAAGCAGCAAAATCAGGGAGATGGACAGGGGACAGATTGGATTTGTCTTCAGGGTGGAAGGGATTGTCACTCTCGAATCAGCCTCCTCAGCCACACTAGATGCGGTTCCAAGTCCTCCATACAGAGTATGTTACCAAAGTCTTTCGATACTGAAGGATGCCTAACCCAAGTGTCTATAAAGTGGATTGCTTTGGTATTGTGTTACTTTATTCCATTTGTTATTTGCTAGCACCTCCTGACATACCTCTGGAGGGGAAATTTCAGCCAAAAAATAGACTTTTTCAATAGGGGTAGGTTTCAGGCAGGCAGCATAAATTGTGCATGATTCCACCTACTTGTTTGACATGTGCTCCTTATCATATAGAACTAGCATAAGAACATGAGAAGCCTGCTGGATCAGGCCAACGGACCCTCTAGTCCAGCTTGCTGTATCTCACAGTCGCCCCACCAGATGCCTCTGGAAGCACACGAGACAACTAGATACCTGTCTTCTGATACTCCTCCCCTGAATCTGGCATTTTGAAGTACTTTCCTTTTAAACCTGGAGATTATACATCCCCATCATGGCTTATAACCTGTGATGGACTTTTTCTCCAGGAATCTGTCCAATCCCTTTTTAAAGGCATCTAGGGCAGGTGCCACCACCACATCCTGTGGCAAGGAGTTCCACAGACTAACAACATGCTGGGTAAAGAAATACTTTCTTTTGTCTGTTCTCATCCTCCCAACACTCAACTGGAGTGGATGTCCCCTGGTTTTGGTATTGTGTGAGAGGGGAAAAAGCTTCCCTCTATCCACTTTATCCATCCCCTGAATAATTTTATACATCTCAACCATGTCTCCCCTCAGGCACCTTTTCTCTAGACTAAAGAGCTCCAAATGCTGGATCCTTTCCTCATAAGGCAGGTGCCCCAGCCCAGTCATCATTTTAGTTGCTCTCTTCTGCACCTTTTCCAGTTCCAAAATGTCTTTTTTGAGGTGCGGCGACCCGAACTGTACGCAACACTCTAGGTGCGGCCTTACCCTCATTTTGTACAATGGCATTATAATGTTGGCTGTTTTATTTTCAATCCCCTTTTTAATATTCCCTCTTTAGTATTCTGCTGTGAAGTAACACAGGGACAAAACTGTTGTTCTTATTGTTTGGGGGTGTACATCCCCATCTGACCCAGCCAGTTTCCTAGGTATGCTATTTCTGTTGGCAGCATTGTGTTTGGTGTTTGGACAATGTTTTTGCAGGTCAGGGCTTGATCCGGAGTGATGCCCAATTGTTTTGAGTAAGGCAATGTTCCAACATCTTGCCTTCCCAGTTAACTCAGAGCTTCCTCTCTGCTTCTCTGTTCTTTATTTATGTTATTTATTTATTTACAATATTTTTAGCCGCACCATTGCCAGTGGCTTTGAGTGGAAAGCACAGGCCTGAGTTGTTAAAAGGCTTGGTTTCAGCTGTTTGTTTTTAGAATACAAGGAGCTCATTGGTAGTACACATATCTTGAGTATCTTATAGCCATCTTTCATCTCAATACAATTTCCAATCCGGCAGTGCATTCCTTCTGGCAGAAAAGAAGATGAAGATGTTCTGTTGATTCCTTCCTCCCCTGTGCATTCTCCTGTCTCTCCACAATCAGCTTCAAAGGCTTGGGGGACTCTATGGAACAATTTGGAGATGATACTGGGGCTGCAGGGAAAGTGTGTGTGTGTGTGTGGGGTAAATCAACACCTTCTCTCCAGACCCATTCAGTATAGGTTTCTGCTGTAATGACTGAAGAAATGATTTATCATGGCACATGACCATAACAGTGCCTGTTTACTTTCATTTCGTATAATTGTTTCTTATGTGAACATACATGGGAACAATGCTAGTAAAGAAAATTACTTGTTTTTGTAATCAGGTAGCAAATTCATTCTAGTAGTGGCCCTTTATGGAAATTAAATACCTCCCATCATCCTATGGCCTCAAAGGGTTTCCCCTTTGGATCCTCAGGACCTTGGGGTGGGGGTGGGGAGATATTAAAAAAATTAATTTATGAAAAATATCTGTGACTGATGATGTCATCAGCTTCACACGGTGTAACTTCTGGCAGCAGAATTTCAGACACTAGATCGTATTTTGAGCACATTCCTCATTTTTCACATCTATAAGCTGTGCTTCCTTCACACATTGGATGATAGCCCCACTGTAATATGTTTTCTCTTGTCCAATCTTGTAATGCTCTTAAACTTCCAAAAATATTTTCTCTTCCATGTGGCTCTCTATTAGGAAGAATCATGCATGGAATTTATCTGATTGCAGGCTGGGAATCAAATCATTCCCATTTGTGTTTGCTTGATCCATCCATACCTCAATATCTTCCTAAAAAGTTTTTTTTAGAAATATGTTTTGCCCTACTACAGCATTAACTGGCGCTGAAACCTGTAGAAATTGAGCTCATATCAGTAGGAATTTGTGAACATTGGGACAGTATTGATGACAAAATCATTTGGCAGCAAATAGCAGCCCCACTTTTCCAGTTTTTAAAGTTAGTTTAAAGTTGCCAAGGCTGCATTTCCATGACTGCGCTTTCGGCTTATGCTTCATCTCAACACTCACTAGGTAGCAAATAGTATTTCCCTGGGTGAGTCCATTGAGAATGAAGTTGTATCATGATGAAGCTCACACCAGTTGTCAGTCGCTGAGAATAACTGGAGTTCCAGCCTAAAGCAATGGGCAAAATACAACTTTAACCACTTTATAGACTAAATGGAAGGGAAAGGAAGGGCAGGAAAGTTACTGCTTATTGCCAGAACCCTAACCTAGAAACCTCTCAGTGAATTGTGGAACCCTCACCCCTCCCTTCCCATACATCATGACCAATCTCATCTCACCTACAATTTGCCACTTTGAAAGGGATAGCAAATTAGGAGGGGTATTTATTTTAATTTGGATGACACTCATTTGGATAAGATATCCTAATTATGAGGGGTATTTATTTTAATTTGGATGACACTCATTTGGATAAGATATCCTATCTTAAATACTGTTGTTTGTTTGGTCATTTAATACGTGGTTCACTTTGATTTCTCTAACTATCCTAAAATAATGTGCTTCTTATGCACTGAAAATGAAACATGAAATTTATAGAGGAAATAATGGGCTTAGCCAGAACAATACATTTCCAAAAATAAATTGGCATAATGCAAACACAAAAGGATGATAAAAGAACACATTCAAAAACCAGATGATAGTTTAATTATAAACAAAACTTTTATGAAGCATATCCTTTAGATGTGGAAAGAGGGATTATTTCTATGATTGCCCAGATTTAGAATGAACTGTATTTATAGGAAACTGGTTTTGTAGAAATATAATATCAATGTGATAATATTGCTTTCCATTTGAAGGGATTAGTATGACAGTCATAATTCCCTTTAAAAGATAATGGCTTCTCTGAACAAAAACAGTGACAGTAAAATCAGAAAGGTGAAAAAGCATTAATCAAAATATATTTCTTTTATTTAATAAAACTGAAAATTCACAGGTGTTGGTTTATAAGCATGGAAATTATCACTACCCACTTCTGTTGCCATCCAGTTTAGTCGTGGCAACAGTGAGAGGTTTTTTTTTGCCTTTCTATGCTTAGACTATGATTCCCAGTGTAGTGTTGTTGACAGAGTGGCCAACTGGAACTCTGGAGAACAGGATTTGAATCCCCACTAGGCCATTGAAACTGACTGGGGGAATGAAACTGGTAAACCACTGCTTAAACATCTCACTTACCTTTAAAGCTATTTTAAGGTTGTTATATGTCAGTTCCAACTTGATGGCACAGAACATACACACTCACTTTGACGAACATGGGCAAATTAACATTTGGATTATTTTCAAATATGCAGCCTGATTTTATTGAAAGCTGGTTTTCACTTTATGGAACAAATGCAGTGTCAAGCTATTCATTCCATTTCTCATGTAGAATATGTTATTATCATGCTATTAAAAATAGCCTTTTCTTCTAACAGCAACAGAAGAAGACAAAAGGGAAATGCTACAATGAACCAGGCCTTTTGACTGCTTGGATGTCTGTATGTTTTCATATGTTATCCTATGTATATGTTTGGACTTGCTTCCACTGAATTCAATGGGACTTGCTTCAATTTAAGGATGCTTAGGATTATACAGAAGAATAGGTAAAGGTTCCCCTTGACATTTAGTCCAGTCGTGTCCGACTCTAGGGCACAGTGCTCATCCCCATCTCCAATCCATAGAGCCAACGTTTGCCCGAAGACAGTTTCTGTGGTCACATGGCCAACACAACTAGACATGGAATGCTGTCACCTTCCAACCATGGTGGTACCTATTTATCTACTCGCATTTACATGCTTTCGAACTACTAGGTTGGCAGGAGCTGGGACAAGCGATGGGAGCTCACTCCGTCATGTGGATTTGATCTTATGACTGCTGGTCTTCTGACCTTGTAGCAAAAGGCTTCTGCGGTTTAACCCACAGCACCACCACGTCCTGCTATACAGAAGAATATGCTTCAGCAAAAATGTAATTCCATTATATACTATTGTATAGTTACATAAACTGAATACAGACTTCAGGATTGGCCAATATCAAGTGGCCAGTAAAAAAGATAATTGAGGTAAAACAGGTAAATGTTTTGCATAAAAGGTAAAACATCAACCGGATTTACCTCCATTGGATTTCGTAGCTACAGATAGTGGGTGACTCTTGGCATATGTGAACCTCTAAACTATTTCTTGAAGTCTACAATCTGAAAAAAATACTTACTTGGTAGCAAGTCCCATTGAATTTAACAAGGCTTCTCACTTCTCAATGGACATTTATAGGATTTCGCTATACAATAGTAAATGTTATATCCTCATGAAATATTCTCCTATTATATAATATCTAGACCAAAAAAAAAAAAGATTCTCACCTCTGTCACAATTGTGTTCATCACTATTATCTACACAGTCTTGGATTCCATCACAGAGCCATCGAACAGGAATACAGTGTGCCTTATTTTTACATCGAAACTGATCTTCTTTACATTCTGTGACACAATCCATCTGTTTAAACACATTTACATGATGCAGTATTTATTAAAAAAATAGCATTGCTATAGAAAGATCACTTAGAATTTAAAAAAACTGATAAAAAGTAATTCTGCATTTTTGAGGTGAACCTTTTTTCTTTAATGGACAAAAGTTACAGTAGCAGCAGAATACAGTAGTAGTGAGATAAACTTGGAATTGCAGATGCTTCTCACAACAGTCCCCTTAGCCAGCTGTCCCACACAAAGAGAGTTAAAAAAAGGCTGGCAGCTGGATCAATCTGCTCTAGACCAACAAAGGAGGAAAATATCTTTTTGCAGAATTCATCTTTATTAATTGCCTGTTCAAGATCCAACTGTCCTCAAACCTTCTGCCTTACAACAGGGATAAGTTGCAACAACATACTGTTCCTGGGAAGGTCAATTCCAACCCCCAAATACTGTGAGGATTGAAAAAAAATTGATGGGAAACACAGAAGTCTGAGAAGCATGGCAGGTGATGTCATCATCCCTATTACTCAGGAAGTGATGGGGCTTCAATCCCACCAGTTCTGGATCCACTACACAACTTACTGAATAGCTGAAAATAAAATATAATGAGGAAAGGGACAGCTCAAACAACATTTAGGGTTACATAAGCACAGCCCTCCCTGTGCAATGGCCCCAGTCAATGCTCTGTATGACCCAACAAGCCACTCCTGACAGTCAGGGGATCCTTAGAATAAGCTGGCTGAGGGAACTCATGGGGAGGTTAGAGGTTTCTTCAGAATTCAAAAGGCTGTCTTCCCTGGGTACCTGTGTGATTTGCTTTTGCTAGTCTCCTTTGGATATGACTCAGGCACTCCCTGAACACATGTAAGTGCACTGCTTGCTCAACAAATGAGGTATTCCCCATATTTTATTTTGTTGTGGTTTTGCATATTAGTTTGAAAATAATAAGTCACAGCAACACAACAGCAAACATAATATTTAGAATCCTTCTAGGACATGTGATTTGTCATGTCTGCTGCTGTTGCTCTCCCTGTAATTTCCAGCTTGCTAGGGCACATATCAGAGATCATTCCTCTTAAAGCAACAAGGCTTCCAAATGTTTAAAGGGGTAGCGAATAACCTCTTACAGAGCTTTTAAAAATGCAGAACTAGTTACATAATAAAATGTTGATCAAGTAGGAGAAACAAAGAGGATTCTGCTTATTACACTGTGAAACTTTAAAATCCAAAAAAAATTAGACAGTAAAATTCAATATACAACTGTAAACAATTATTATAACAACACAAGGACCTGTCTAAAATGTTGTTTCCAAAGTAATCTGTAGAAAAAAGGCAACTGGACATGCTAGGTGCCCTTCTGCTATTAGGGAATTCTAGAAGTAAGGGAGCTTTACTGAAAGAACCCTGCTGCTACCCAAATCAATTAAGGATTCAACTGATTCTTCATCAAAGTGGGTAAAAAGGCAGATTAATGATTAGGCTCGGTGTCTCTTTTGACAAGGAAGTACTGGAACAAACCTCACAATATTTACCACTTCAAACTCCTTTTTTCCAAATACTGTATGCAGACAAAAGCATGGCAGGGAAAGGGGGTCAGAATACAGTTCATAGGGGTAGTTAATCTACTTACCTCATCAGAACCATCAGGACAATCATATTCTCCATTGCACCTGAAAGATGCTGAAATACATCCCCCACTGGCACAAACGTACTCACTTGTAGAACATGTTGGAGATGCTGTTTCAGACATATATTGACATTAGGTAAATGCAGTAAACTATGACATTAAATTATGATTTACTATTCATATGATTTGATAAAATACAAACAACAGCTGTCTGCAGATAGAGTAGAAATACTGAGTCTTGAGGGTCCCTGTAAGATAACAACCAGGAAACCAAACAGTAGTCTTCCAACACCACCTTCTGGAGCATTTGGTCAGCTGGACCAGAATGCCTATAAAAGAAAGCCACCAGGTCTCGTATTGGCCAAACAGATATAAAGGAAAACCTGAGGGATCACATAGAATGCCACACAGAGATGCAGTAAAACTAACAGGAAAGAATGTCTCCATTCAGTTCCTAGCCTAGTTAATCCACAAATGAGATTGTTGTTTTATTGTTATGCATCAAAGCAAAGCAAAGCAAAACATGCTGCTTATAGGTATAGTGGTAGCCCCCTACTGCTTCAAGCACTCTCCGGGTGGTATATAAGTTAATTATGCAAGGTACACATTGCCCCCCCCCCCAAGCTTGGTACTCATTTTATTGACCTTGGAAGGACAGAAGGCTGAGAAAGGCTGACTGATCACTATTAAGGTTGGTACATTTTTTTATCTGTAACAATTTGTACCAGGAAAAAAAATTCAAAATGATAATGTTGCTTTGTATCAGGGGTTGTTGACTGTGAAAGTGATTGCTTGTGTAAATTTTAACAGTATGAATCACTCTGTACAGTCATGTTATTGCTGGTGTGCTTTTATATTCATAATGGTCAGAAGGCTATGCACATATTTAATTGTTACTTGTTGATGAAACAAACCTGCTACATTTTGCTCAATATATACATGTTATAATATGGACATTTTAAACAACAGGAAGTTATCATTTATAGCAGTCCATTGCATTCAATGCAATAGCAGTGAAGCCAAACCTTCTGAATCATAAACTGCCTGAGTTTTGGACTTCTGAATCATAATCTGCCTATTTTGGACTTCTCTTTATAACACAGCAAAATACATGGCATCACAGTTGCTCTAAATATTACAAAAATCTCATATGAAGCCATAAAATCTTTTCCCCCTCTTTGTTTTCTCCTTCCCTCCCCCCACTCCCCACTAATACAGATTTACCTGGTTCACAGTTTTTCTCATCCTCTCCAAGTATACAGTCATCATGTCCATCGCACTTCCATTTTGAAGCTATGCACTGACCATTGGAGCACTGGAACTGATCTTTTAAGCAGCCAGAACCACAATATCTCTGTTAAAAAATGAAATTACACTATTTTTAAACTCATACAAAATAGAACACGGCATCAAATGAAACTGTGCAAAAATAAACAAGTAAAACCCAAAAATAAAGAGTAGATGCCAATTTTTAAAATACTAACTATCATATCCACATCCAAAATTAACAAAAAGTATTTACAAAAGTATCAGTTATTTGCAAAAGTACCAGTGGTGATAAAATGTCATGACAAGAGGTTGTAATTACACCAACAAATGTATTAACCTGATAATTATGTTGTGATGCTAGGTATTATGACAGACTTCATTAAAATATACTGATAGCTTATTTTATATTTCACTTTTCCTATAAGGAGATTACAAGTGCTTTATATATAGGTTTTCATGCAATAAGGAATTGCAATGGAGACGCTAACTAGCAGCTGCTAAGAGTTTCTGATTGGATGTTTGGCTGCACTGATGTAGGTGACATCATTTTCTCCATGGTGCTAAGTTATTCAAGAACATTTTTGCTGCTGTAAGATATTCTATGACACCTCATGTAGTATACTGAGAAATGGCAATCGCAACATCTTTACACTGCAATGCTTGATACCACATGTTGCTTTCCTGTTTTCTTGGGGAGGGACTAATAGGCCTCTCTGGAGGTTCTGAATCACTGATCTCTTCAGCCTTGGCCAAATGAGCCAATGATTAGGGATGATGAGAATTTAAATGCTGAAACATCTGGAAGGCCAGAATTGTCCACTCCATGTTTGTTCAAGATGAGGAAATTTTAATCTGCCTCCTTTTGCTTGCAGCACTTCTTGTAGAATTCTGGACAAGGGCAGCATTATGATTTTAAGGAGCAGGTTTTCAGGCAACTCAACATGCAGAGGGTTGAAGAAGGAAAGGAAAGGCAGGAAGCCCTGCAGGAAGACACTTTTGCTCTTCCTCTCCACCCACAATGGAGAAATATGATTATTCCCAATCAGTGGTCCAGACATTATACATACTATAATGCCATTTTCTTTTTTAAAAATGACATTTTGTCTCCACGTAATGCATTCATGTCCTTTCAAAGATACTTAAAAGTGTATTTTTTAACTTTTAATCTTTATTGCATTTTAAAAAGAAATTATCAAAATAAGTAATTATCACAGTATTAGCACATAACCAAAATATTTTTCTATTTTCTCTTTCGCAAAACAGTCTTTAACATTTTAATTTCCTCATTTTCCACCAGACATGTATTTTCTTCGCAATCTTAATAATACCTTTCTTAATTCTTATTTTTTATCCATATTAACAATCTGCTTTACTTTGTTTTTACTTCTGTTGAGAGCAGAATAATTTAAGCCTAAATCATTTGGTACAGGTTTGGAATCTTTCTTCCATTTCTCTTTGAGATAATTCTTTACTTTCCCCCACTGAGATTTGTGTTCCGTTCTACTCTTTCCTTTCAATGAGACTGTTAGTTCGTCCATTTATATTAATTCCTGTAATTTTATTAAACAATCCTCCACCAAAGGTTCCTCCTTGTCTTTCCATTGTTTTGCCCCTTGATACTTAGCAGTGTATTTTGATGTGTTGAATTAGTCAGGAACACATCATGATATACAGAAAAGTGAAAACTGGGTGGATAGTTAAGTTATACAGTAATGGTTGCTGTGTTTTTTTTGGGCTCTTTGGCTGTGTTCTGAAGGTTGTTCTTCATAACGTTTCGCCAGTCTCTGTGGCCGGCATCTTTTGCTACAGAGACTGGCAAAACGTTAGGAAGAACAACCTTCAGAACACGGCCAAAGAGCCCGAAAAAGCCACAGCAACCATCAGATCCCGGCCACGAAAGCCTTCAATTATACTGTAATCTCCACTTCTTGGACATTAATGTTTCAGTAATTGTTCCTGAGATGTTTGAGTGATGGTCTCAGACATTTCAAGGAGTAATTAACACCTACTCATGATTGACTCACATGTAGAGCTCAGAAAAAATAGCAAAGAATTGGATTGTCCCTTGGCCCTTATTGTTGTATGCCATGGGGACGGCTCTTGACATCAATGCATTGATGTCCATCTAAAGAGGACATATTTCAGTGTGTAGCTGTTCACACATCCAGACTTCACACAGCCTGGATGCTTCAGTTCCATGGAGGCTTTATAAAAAGGACATGCTAATACAGAGAATTTCTTTGCGACTGTGTTCGGCGCTTGAAAAGTGATGAAGCCCTGGCTTAATTATGCATTACTTCTGCTTTGGAACTTAGCTGGTAGCCTTGTACTTTACTAGCATACCACACAATTTCACATTTTTCTTTTGTTTTTAATAAAGTACACTATGATTATGTATAATTACATAGAATTATGTATAATTGCATCTGTAAGTATGCATATATGTATTTGAGTCTAATCTATCAAATAACATTACCCAAGGCAGAGAGCAATACTTAAATAGCTGTTTCCATAGCAGTTATTTCTTTTTTTTAATCCAATATTTGCAAGTCCAGATCTTATGATGGATCCCAGATGTTATACAGAATGCTGATCACCTGTTTTGAGCTTATATGTTTTAATTTTTGCATTTAAGTCCAAGCATATTTTGTGCAGCAAGGGAGAAAAGACATTTGATTCTGTCCTTCTGTATCTTCAGGTAGGTTCAGTAAACATCAAAATACATCATTTAGACAAGTTTACCTCATCTGAGCCATCTGCACAATCATAGTCGCCATCACACCAGAATCTTGCAGACAGACAGTCTCCATTTGAGCAATGAAAGTCTTTCTGAGTGCATGTCTGTGGTTCTGAAAAGAACAAAAAATGCTTTTCAGAGTCTTTCTCCTTCAAAATTTAGAGAACACCTCTTTTTGTTTTTTTATCTTAAACTCTACTTTCTGGTGAAAAGATCCATGATACAGCAATGTTGGCTATTCCTCTTTTAATACAGGATTTTTATTGCTATGTTTGTGTTCTTTTTTTTTTTGTGCCCTCTCTCCTTATCATCTGACATTAGAAAAGATTTTCCATTGTTTATCCTTGGAATCAGTACACGGCAAATGTGAAAACCACTGATAAACAATATTACACTATCGCATATCAATACAGACTCTCCACCAATCAAAATGTTTCTAGAATCTAGGTAAATGTTTTGATTTTAAAAGTTTTAGAGCTTTTCTTTCTTTAATATTTTGTCAACAATTTGATGCTTTGAGATGATATCTTGCAGTTTTGAGTAGCAAATGAGAATAAATATATCTTGCTTATTATGCATATCTCGCACAAGTATGGAAAGAATTGCTTACTAAGTATTTATGTCTGACATACGAAATTGTGCAGAGCTTTATTATGGCACTGGAAAATTATCAAACACTTTATTGTAAATGCTAAACTGGAGGGTCCCCCGCCCACCCAATTCAGAAATACAGACTTGCTAGCAAACTTTCCCCACAGCTCCTATGAATAATGCTATAACTGCTAGAAACAAAATTGTGAAAAACGGTGAACAAGAAAGTAAATATTCTAGGAAAGCAGTGAGGAAGAAGAAACATGCATAATCCTCTCCCTAATATATCATTATTGCCATATTGCAGGGCACTCTCATGCAAAGACAAGTTAGGAAGGGGAAGGAAAAAGAAAAGGTCCTATTCAGATCCTTTTTCATAAGTACAGCACTTCAAACATATCTAGTCACAGTTTCCTACAGACCTATCTCTGCCAGCATCTGCCTCTGTAGTTGACAGTGTGGATACAATAACTATGCCCTTTTCAAAAAAAAAATCTGGTTCAAAAGACAAAGAACTCTTTGGAGCAGATCTGGAGGAGACCTTAGATGTAGAGACAGGAAGAGAAGAAGAGAGGATCACTAGACACATAGACCTCGCTCTGCCTCCAGCTTCAGAAATTTGAAAGACAGCTTTTCGTATTCCACTTCATTTGTAGTCACACATGTTGCAAGGTCTACAATTTATTATCATCTTAAATACTCATATGATTTGTAATATTTTACACACTTTGAAATAACATTGTGACAAACAGTTCTACAGATTAGAGATTTACCTGATCTCTTATACAACAGATGATTTCTTAATTGCCATTTTGCTCTGGCAAACAGCAGAATGAAATGTTGGCCAAAGAAAGGGAGAAACAAGGAAAATAAATATTGTAGAATTTTATTGACCAACCATTTTATTTCAGTGTGAGGTTACATGGATCAAATTTGCTTCACCAGACATCAAGAATCTCATTGTAACTTCATTCATCTAGGTGCTGCTTATAATAGCTGTGCTTATTTTTTGCTGGTGCCTGTGTAACTGCTAGCAGAGCAACAGAAACACTTGGGCCACCATCAGTATTTACACATATGCAGAGCTCCAGTGGCGGAAGCTGCTGTAATGATCTGGTGAAAACCTGGCCATGTGTGATCAGACACTGTGGCAGCCTCTGCAGTTGGAATTCAGATGGGCAGGTACTGAACAGGATACTGGCCTTGCAGTTTCTGCAGAAGCCTAACTGATAAGCCGAAGAAGCCTAGAAATATCTTTGTAACTTATTTGAATTCATTCTGTGTTCAGTTGGTTTCATTCTGGATATTATTGGCTACTCGTGACTAAATGTTTTCCAAATTCAGAAAGATAGATTTTACAAAAGAATAGAAAGTATGACTAAAGAAAATAATCCCTGTTCTTATAGAAGGGTTCATAAAACCAACCGCAGAGTACGACCAGAATCTAGTTGAACGATGGTAGAGCATAACACTGCCAGCACAGTTCTACTGAAACCTCTGCTGAGGGAGCTGAGATCACAGAGCACATCCATTTAAACCAGAGGGGCTTCTGCTTATATAAGAAAATATGGGATCTCCTCGTATAAGTGCCATGAAGTGTTGAACCAATGCCTGAATGGAAGGATCCCGGCCAGAACTTACTGCAGTTTTCTTCATCAGAATTGTCACCACAATCATTTTGACTGTCACATCTCCAGTGATCTGGAATGCAGTTGCTGTTTTTACACTGGTATTCATTAGGCCCACAAGTCTTTTTATCTGTAACAGAAATGATTGTTTATTTATTCTCATGCTGTAATGTAGTTTAGAGCTGTGAAAAATGCATCCTGAAATACCAGCTACAGCACTGTCCCATTTTTCACTGCTAAAAGGATGAAGTTAATTTTCTGCTACCTATGTAGCAGATTACAACTAGGGGTGTAATTGCTCATGTGTCTTATTCTTGTGCAAGACTGTGAGAAATGGCAAAGATATTCTCCTCACCTCTATGATGGCAAGATATTTTCTGGTACTCTTGAAAATATTTCTCTCATTTTCTAGAATAGTTTTTTTGTGTACTTAGGATGTACTGAACATTAAGACAATCTTGATGAATCCTGGAATAATTCAGTTCACTGAAAATCTTGGGAATCCATCTACTCAGGCTTAATGAGGTGCCTGAAGAGGTATTTAAGAAATAGGTCAGCAAGACCTAATAAGATCTGCAATGTCCTCTGACTGCACTGAATGTAGGTATATGGGCCTCAAGTTACATCTTTTATGACATTTTAAAAGACAATGGCCAAAACTGCATTGCTTAGCTTAGTAAATTACACTAGAGTTAGGCTCACTGCATCTATGAGAGTTTGGTGAGTAAATTCTTCTGTAAGTTCCATTGATTCAAATGGTCCTATTCTAACTGCAACTTACCTTAACATAGTAAGTTGCAGTTTTATGTAGGCCCATTTGAATCAATGCCTTCATGGAGGAGTTGACTCACTAACTCCCCACTCATTCAGTAAGCCTACTGTAGTGCGATTTACTATGCTAAACAACAGGATTCTGGCCAATGTTTGAGTTTTATACAAGCAACATAAAAGGTATGCAATAAAAATTCAAGTTAGATAGCTCAGTGGTTTCGGTTTCTGGTTGCACAGCCGGAGGGTGGGAGTTTGATACAAGTGGTGCTGCAAGATTGGTTGCAATGTCATATTTAGGGTTCCAGCCAGCCACGTCCCTTTTCAGCATTCTGTTCCACCTCCCCACTGTTTATCCAAGAGCTAGATAGTATTCAGGGTCTTTGAGCATGCTCAGTCTTCACAGAACTATTTCTGGAGCACGGAGGAAATGGTTCACCAGGCTGTTTACCCACCTTCTGTCCTTAGAGTTTTCTCCCAAGTGTTTTGGTATATTTATAAAACCAGGGTTTCCCCAAATATCATGACAAATTTTGGGGTAAATGGTGCTGCTTTGGCTAATAAGAACCTACCCTTGGAGAACTGGGTTCATTATTAGATTACAGGACACTTACCACAGTTGGCTTCATCAGACCCATCTGCACAATCTGGATCCTCATCACATACCCACAGTTTTGAAATGCAGTGTTTTGTGGTTTTACACTGAAAATGGTCAGGAGAACAGCTGTTTTCCGCTTTAAAGAAAATATGTTACTTTAAATACAGAGCCCGCTTGCTAGCATTCAGAACTTCTAGTTTAAATAATCAGACCTGTTTACTCAAAACATTGCAAAATGCTTTTTACAAATGCCTTAGTATTTGTACATGAAGACAGTGCCATTATTTAATGCATAAAAGTGAAAATATAAATATTAGCTTCAGAATATTTTTACATCATAATCTGGAAAGTTTTTGCTATTTTGCAGATTAAATAAATAAATAAATAAGCAAGCAAGCAAAAACAAAACAGTTCTAAATATAGGCTCAATTAACATAATTGATGCTGTACTATTCTGAGGGTAATCAATTTTTTCACCATTATTTAATAAGCAACTCTCATATTCCCTAATTTTTTTCTGAACTGAAAAGCCTCAATATGTTTCTCTTCCTATAAAGAAAAAGCGTTTTCATCTTTGTTATTTTATTTGCTATTCTGCGTCTCCCCAGAATAGATATCATGGTAATAGATAGGATATATTTTATTTTCGATTACTCTCATAACCATCTTCAAAACATAATTTACACTTTTCTTACTGTCATGGCATCATGAAAGGGCATTTCATTGTGCTTTCTGCTGTGATCCATGTTCAGTTCCTACCTAGTCATAGGCTCCATCAGTGCATTTGCAAAATTAGAGTTCTTTTCTCTCCCATTAATTTACACATTTACAGAATCTCATTTGTCATTCTTTCATACACTCACTCAATTTGGAGAACTCCCTTCAAGCCTGCTTTAATCTTTCCCCCCTTCCTTTTTGGCTTTTTTTTCCATAAGAAACAACCCTTCATTCCCATTGGAACAAAAACAAGAAAAATGAAGGATGGCAGAAGTTACAAAACTGTACAATACAAGTGAAGCCACACATCACATACTAATCCAGATACAATCTGAAATCTGGTACCAGGAATGGTTAGAATGTTCCAGAAATCCCTGTTCACCATTGTATCTAACACAATGTCCATGAGCTTAAAACCTCCAATAATGTTGCTACTAGCTAGCCAAAGACATCAAAACCACACATTTTATTTACATTTTATTTGCTGTCACAGGGTTGCCATTTTGAAGCAGTTTTTGTTTCCAATATGCATACCTAAATAAAACATATCCTCTTGATCACAGATACTTCCAGATGTTCATATAGATATTTTTCTCTTACATTCTGTACCCATTTTACCACAACAAATTGTGTTGCAGTTTGCATTCGTAAGTGTTGGCTTACTAAACCCTATTCTCTTCATGGGTTTACTCGAGCTAGGACAAAGAGTAGGATTTAGCCCTATAGATGTCTGGTAGTTTGATTCCTTTCAGTTCTCTCAACGGTTTATTTTTAATTGCTTCAAATGAAAAAATACTGATATAAATATGTTAAAAGAACAGATGTACAGTACTTTTAGGAACATAAGTTAAGACCCTCTCATACACCAATAAATGTTTTCTCTCTCTCTCTCTCTCTCTCTCCAGAATCATACTGCTGTTCATGAACAGTTTTCATAAATTGCTGTGGCTAACTGCGGTCAGTTGATGGGATGCCAAGATATATTTTGCTAGAGATTGGGGTATTCGTGTTTGTATACGGTCTGCGAGCCACTCCTGGCAGGAGGCGGAAGGATGAGCCTTGCTGCAAGGTCAAAGAGTGGCTCGCAGACCGTGGCCTCCAGAGCAACAGGAAGGGAGCGTGGAGCCCCCAGCAACAGCGGAAGGTGAGTGGACAGTCTGGCCCCAGGGGGCTGGACCCTTATTATGTCCACCTGTGTGGGGGTGCTTGTATACGAATGTGAATACCCCAATCTTGATTATACTGTTGGCTGGTTATGCCTGTGACCAGTCACATGACTGAGATACATCCCAGTACTTTTGTCAATTAGCTGCACAGTTATACAAACCTTGCATGAACACCAGTAGGTTTTTATCCCATATTATCTCTCTTCCATTACAGACTCTAAATTTATCTATGAGCCTGGATAACTTGATTCCTGTGTAACATATCTTATTATCTCACTTTTTCCACCCCATAATGAGATAAATCTCAGCCTACTTGAACGTCCACTTTTGAAAGTGACAACACTTGTGCTTTTTGTTGTACGGTATATTTAAACTGCACATTTGATTCCATTTTAACTACCTTGGCTCTATCTTATGGAATCCTCAGAGCTGTCGCTCAATGAGGACTTTTGAATTTTCTGCCAGATACCTCTCTATTGCACTCCTTGAACTACTGGCAGAGAATTTCCAATCTGTCCCAAATCCCAGAGTTCTGTAGGAGAGAGTTATGGCAGTTAAAGTGGACCTAAAGAGCTGTAGATGTGTTGTGTGAATATACTCTCAAAAGCAGGGATCCATCTATAAAATAACCTTTTTATGGCTAAGTTTCATCATGAGATTTTGGAGTTACCCCCATGAGTATCAGAACTACTTACGGCAATCCTTTTCATCTTCTTCATCACCACAATCATCCTGTCCATTACACCTTAGATTTATTGGGATACACTTCTGATTCTTCGTGCATTTGAATTGTCCTGACAAGCAAACATGTGTATCTGGAGGAAAAACCAACAACTGTCTAAACACATTCTGATTTGATGTGATTTAACTGGGTTATTATTTTTATCTTTTATTGTTGTCCATCCATCCATCCATCCATCCATCCATCCATCCATCCATCCATCCATCCATCCACCCCTGTATCATTATCTCTCTCTGACACACACTGTGTATCATATCCATACTACCTAATACTGTAATAAAAGAACAAAAGGCATTATTGTGAAGCTCTTCTGTGTTCTACTAGAAAAAGAAGAGGTGTAATAGCTTGCTCTTATTGAGATGTGCCATGAAGTCACTTCCAACTTATGGTGACCCTATGAATTAAGAATGTCCAGTAGGGCTGATCATCAATAGCTCTTCTCAGGTCTTGCAAGATAAACACTGTGGTTCCTTTACTGAATAAATCCATCCCATATTCACTCTTCCTCTTTTCCTGCTGCTTTTCTTCATCATTATTGTCTTTTCCAGTGAGTCTTGTTTTCTCATTAGTACCCAGAACATGATAGCCTTCAACTTATTTCTTTAGTTTCTCATGGCTGTTCAGACTCAATCTGATCTAGAACCTACTTACTCCCCCACTTTTGAACCATGGTAACTTTAAAAACTCTCCCCTAGCACCAGATTTTGAATGAATATATTTCCCCTATCAGCTTTCACATCCATACACATAACTAAGAAAACCATAATATGGATGATTTTTGCTTTTGTTTCCAGGGACATACCCTTATTTTTGAGGATCTCTTTTCTAGTTCCTTCATAAATGCCCTTTTGAGTCTCAGCCTTTTTCTGATTTTTTTTTCTGGTGCAGCCTCCATTTGGAGTGATGACTATCAAGATTAAAGTTATATAATTCTTCTGTAGTTACAATTTTTGTCTTCTTAATGTTCAACTCTAATGCTGTTTTTCATTTTCTTGTTTGACTGTCATAGTCATTTCTATCCATTGCTGTTTTCTCTTATAAAAAATAGTGTCATTTGTGTATCTTAAATTAATGATGTATCTTCCAATAGTCTTCACTTCTCTTTCACCTGAACTCAATCCAGCTTTCTGTATTATTTATCTGCCTAACCATAGGGAGATAAAGTACACCCTTTGCCAATCTCAAAGCATTCTGTTTCTCCATATTCTATCCTACCAGTAGCCTTTTGTCTTGACCACTGGTTATGCATGGGGTCAATCAAATTTTGCAGCAAACCCATTTCTTTTAGAATGATCCAAAGCTTTTCATAATCTAATTGTCAAAGGCTTTATGTAAATAGAGGTCCATTTTTTCCTCTCACTATTCTGATTCCAACATGAATA